GCCTCCATGTATTTTGCCTTGCTCTGTCAGTCTGGGAGGACAGAATGAGGTCAGAGAACATTTCATCACGAGTGTGTTTTTTTCGCCTTCTAATCTTCGCTAGCCTCTGAGAAGGAGAAACATATGCAGCTGGTGCAGGGAAAAAAAAGGAGAGTGGTAGTTAAAAAGACACATTTTATAGAACAATGGGTATACTCTTTCACGGTAAACCTTGCTGTTAACATTACACAGCAAATCTGCTTTCATTACAAGGTCGCATTGTGCCTCTTATTGAGGGTATGCTGGTTTGGTGTGAGAGATCACTCACACAGGGCCGGGCAGCAGAATTTGGCTTGCAGGAAGCCATGGTAAGCCACAGTCTTTTGGCTTCTTTAACCTTCATAACATGTGGGAATGACTTCAAACAGCAGCGCCCTCATTTCCCATATGAAGTAGCCGTTGGGTTGGTCATTTAAAATGGGTTGGCAATTTAAAAGGAGGGGCTGCGGTTTCCGGGTTCACGTGCAGCAAAAACCCAACTAACCCCCCTCCCCCCACACACATACAATTCTCTGGGATGATGGCTTCACCCCTCCCCCCACCACATGGCTAACAGCGGGGAAGATTTCTGTGCAGCCACAGGTAAACTCCCCAGCAGCAACGGGCACCTCTGAATGTCCGCTTACTAAAACCACCCTGTTTCAACCAGGTGACCGTGAATGATATCACTCTCTTGAGGGTAACACAGAGAGAGATAAAGAATGGATGTTGTTTGAATGCCAGCAAACACCGGGACCACACGCTGCAATGCTTTGTTCCACAATGATTCCCGACTACGTGCTACTGGTCTGGCGTGGTAAAGTGTCCTACCATGGAGGACAGAATAAGGCTGCCCTCCCCAGAAACCTTCTGCAAAGGTTTTGGGAGTATATCCAGGAGAGCTTTATGGAGATGTCCCTGGAGGATTTCTGCTCCATCCCCAGACATGTTAACAGACTTTTCTAGTAGCTGTACTGGCTGCGAATGCCAGGGCAAATTAACCATTAAACACGCTTGCTTTTAAACCATGTATAATATTTACAAAGGTACACTCACCAGAGGTCCCTTCTCTGCCTTCAGGGTCCAGGAGGTAGCTCTGGGTGGGTTTGGGGGGTACTCCAGGTCCAGGGTGAGAAACAGATCCTGGCTGTTGGGGAAACTGGTTTCTCCACTTCCTTGCTGTGAGCTATCTTCTACCTCCTCCTCATCATTTTCATCACCCCCAAAACCCGCTTCCATGTTGCCTCCCACTCCTTGGATGGAGTCAAAGCACAGGGTTGGGGTAGTGGTGGCTGCCCCCCCTAGATTGGCATGCAGCTCATCATAGAAGCGGTATGTCTGGGGCTCTGAATCGGAGCTGCCGTTTGCCTCTCTGGTTTTCTGGTAGGCTTGCCTGAGCTCCTTAATTTTCACGTGGCACTGCTGCGGGTCCCTGTTATAGCCTCTGTCCTTCATGGCACTGGAGATTTTTTTCAAATATTTTGTCATTTCGTCTTTTCAAACGGAGTTCTGCCAGTTCGGATTCGTCTCCCCACACAGCGATCAGATCCCATACCTCCCATTCGGTCCATGCTGGAGCTCTTCGGTGATTCTGGGACTGCATGGCTTCCTGTGCTGATGGGCTCTGCATGGTGACCTGTGCAGGTGAGCTCGCCATGCTGGCCAAGCAGGAAATGAGATTCAAAAGGGTTAAATCGAGGTAACACTGCTAAATTCGACCTAAACTCGTAGTGTAGACCAGGTCTAAGGTGCCACAAGTACTCGTTCTTTCTGCTGATACAGACTAACATGGCTACCACTCTGAAACCTGTCAATATAAAGATAGTTACTCAACCAGAAACTCTGTAGGTAATTGGGTTTCTCAAACCATGGAGTGACTTCCCACAAGGTGACACACTTATTTGGAAGTGTGGGAAGGAGAGACTTGGATTTTGAGGGTAAGGAATAAATAAGGCAAATGAGCTAAACACATTTAAAAAAAAATGTAAACTACAGCAACACTGATGTAGTCAGAGTTTGCAGCATGCCCACTGTGCATGCCGAGCAGCAGCATGACTTGCCCTCTTCTGGATTTGCCTTCTGTTTGCAAGTGGGGTTTCTGCAGCTGGACAGGATTCCTTCGATGCTGTGTTTGGACAAGAGCAATTGCTCTAGGTGGAACAAGGTCCAGTTGTGCTGGTACAGGGTGGCTTCTCTTTCCTGTTTCCCTTTGGGTCTCCGTTTCCCAGTCTTAAAACCTCACCCACTCAGATAGAAAGGGAATTGAATCTTCACATTTTTTGACTCTATCCTTCTCTTTTGGAGACCCACTAGGAAAGAAGTAGATCACACAAGAAAAAGAGTCTCCAGGCCTTGGCACATACAGACTGAGGTGCGGTGACAGAGGAAACCCAGGTTACATTTTTTGCACTGTCCTACAGTATAAATACCATGAGCTTGTGGCCGATAATGTACAGGATCTACAGTGGATTGCTGGCCAATGGGAGCAAGCAAGAGGCATACCCGAGTTCCTTTTCTCTCTGCTCTAGGGTATGTCTACACTACGAAATTAGGTCGAATTTATAGAAGTCGGTTTTTTAGAAATCGGTTTTATATATTCGAGTGTGTGTGTCCCCACAGAAAATGCTCTAAGTGCATTAAGTGCATTAACTCGGCGGAGCTCTTCCACAGTACCGAGGCAAGCGTCGACTTCCGGAGCGTTGCACTGTGGGTAGCTATCCCACAGTTCCCGCAGTCTCCGCTGCCCATTGGAATTCTGGGTTGAGATCCCAATGCCTGATGGGGCTAAAACATTGTCGCAGGTGGTTCTGGGTACATATCGTCAGCCCCCCGTTCCCTCCCTCCCCCCGTGAAAGCAAGGGCAGACAATCATTTCGCGCCTTTTTTCCTGAGTTACCTGTGCAGACGCCATACCACGGCAAGCATGGAGCCCGCGCAGGTAACCGTCACCCTATGTCTCCTGGGTGCTGGCAGACGCGGTACGGCATTGCTACACAGTAGCAGCAACCCCTTGCCTTGTGGCAGCAGACGGTACAGTACGACTGGTAGCCGTCATCGTCATGTCTGAGGTGCTCCTGGTCGCCTCTGTGAGGTCGATCAGGAGCGCCTGGGCAGACATGGGCGCAGGGACTAAATTTGGAGTGACTTGAGCAGGTCATTCTCTTTAGTCCTGCAGTCAGTCCTATTGAACCGTCTTATGGTGAGCGGGCAGGCGATACGGACTGCTAGCAGTCGTACTGTACCATCTTATGCCAGGCAGGCAAGAGATGAAGATGGCTAGCAGTCGTACTGTACCATCTTCTGCCGAGCAGCCATGAGATGTGGATGGCATGCAGTCCTTCTGCACCGTCTGCTGCCAGCCAAAGATGTAAAAGATAGATGGAGTGGGTCAGAACAAGAAATAGACCAGATTTGTTTTGTACTCATTTGCCTCCTCCCCTGTCTAGATCACACTGCAGTCACTCACAGAGAAGGTGCAGCGAGGTAAATCTAGCCATGTATCAATCAGAGGCCAGGCTAACCTCCTTGTTCCAATAACAACGATAACTTAGGTGCACCATTTCTTATTGGAACCCTCCGTGCAGTCCTGCCTGAAATACTCCTTGATGTACAGGCACACCCTTTGTTGATCTTAGCTCCCTGAAGCCAACCCTGTAAGCCGTGTCGTCAGTCGCCCCTCCCTCCGTCAGAGCAACGGCAGACAATCGTTCCGCGCCTTTTTTCTGTGCGGACGCCATACCAAGGCAAGCATGGAGGCCACTCAGCTCACTTTGGCAATTAGGAGCACATTAACCACCACACGCATTATCCAGCAGTATATGCAGCACCAGAACATGGCAACGCGATACCGGGCGAGGAGGCGACGTCAGCGCGGTCCCGTGAGTGATCAGGACATGGACACAGATTTCTCTGAAAGCATGGGCCCTGCCAATGCATGCATCATGGTGCTAATGGGGCAGGTTCATGCTGTGGAACGCCGATTCTGGGCTCAGGGAAACAAGCACAGACTGGTGGGACCGCATAGTGTTGCAGGTCTGGGACGATTCCCAGTGGCTGCGAAACTTTCGCATGCGTAGGGGCACTTTCATGGAACTTTGTGACTTGCTTTCCCCTGCCCTGAAGCGCATGAATACCAAGATGAGAGCAGCCCTCACAGTTGAGAAGCGAGTGGTGATAGCCCTGTGGAAGCTTGCAACGCCAGACAGCTACCGGTCACTTGGGAATCAATTTGGAGTGGGCAAATCTACTGTGGGGGCTGCTGTGATGCAAGTAGCCCACGCAATCAAAGATCTGCTGATATCAAGGGTAGTGACCCTGGGAAATGTGCAGGTCATAGTGGATGGCTTTGCTGCAATGGGATTCCCTAACTGTGGTGGGGCTATAGACGGAACCCATATCCCTATCTTGGCACCGGAGCACCAAGCCGCCGAGTACATAAACCGCAAGGGGTACTTTTCGATAGTGCTGCAAGCTCTGGTGGATCACAAGGGACGTTTCACCAACATCAACGTGGGATGGCAGGGAAAGGTGCATGATGCTCGCGTCTTCAGGAACTCTGGTCTGTTTCAAAAGCTGCAGGAAGGGACTTTATTCCCAGACCAGAAAATAACTGTTGGGGATGTTGAAATGCCTATATGTATCCCTGGGGACCCAGCCTACCCCTTAATGCCATGGCTCATGAAGCCGTACACAGGCAGCCTGGACAGTAGTCAGGAGCTGTTCAACTACAGGCTGAGCAAGTGCAGAATGGTGGTAGAATGTGCATTTGGACGTTTAAAGGCGCGCTGGCGCAGTATACTGACTCGCTTAGACCTCAGCGAAACCAATATTCCCACTGTTATTACTGCTTGCTGTGTGCTCCACAATATCTGTGAGAGTAAGGGGGAGACGTTTATGGCGGGGTGGGAGGTTGAGGCAAATCGCCTAGCTGCTGGTTACGCGCAGCCAGACACCAGGGCGGTTAGAAGAGCACAGGAGGGCGCGGTACGCATCAGAGAAGCTTTGAAAACCAGTTTCATGACTGGCCAGGCTACGGTGTGAAAGTTCTGTTTGTTTCTCCTTGATGAACCCCCCCGCCCCTTGGTTCACTCTACTTCCCTGTAAGCTAACCACCCTCCCCTCCTCCCTTTAATCATTGCTTGCAGAGGCAATAAAGTCATTGCTGCTTCACATTCATGCATTCTTTATTCATTCATCACACAAATAGGGGGATGACTACCAAGGTATCCCAGGAGGGGTGGTGGAGGAGGGAAGGAAAATGCCACACAGCACTTTAAGCACAGCACTTTAAAAGTTTACAACTTTAAAATTTATTGAATGACAGCCTTCTTTTTTTTTGGGCAATCCTCTGTGGTGGAGTGGCTGGTTGGCCGGAGGCCCCCCCACCGCGTTCTTGGGCGTCTGGGTGTGGAGACTATGGAACTTGGGGAGGAGGGCGGTTGGTTACAGAGGGGCAGCAGTGGCAGTCTGTGCTCCAGCTGCCTTTGCTGCAGCTCAACCATACACTGGAGCATACTGGTTTGGTCCTGCAGCAGCCTCAGCATTGAATCCTGCCTCCTCTCATCACGCTGCCGCCACATTTGAGCTTCAGCCCTGTCTTCAGCCCGCCACTTACTCTCTTCAGCCCGCCACCTCTCCTCCCGGTCATTTTGTGCTTTCCTGCACTCTGACATTATTTGCCTCCACGCATTCGTCTGTGCTCTGTCAGTGTGGGAGGACAGCATGAGCTCGGAGAACATTTCATCGCGAGTGCGTTTTTTTTTCTTTCTAAGCTTCACTAGCCTCTGGGAAGGAGACGATCCTGTGATCATTGAAACACATGCAGCTGGTGGAGGAAAAAAAAGGGACAGCGGTATTTAAAAAGACACATTTTATAAAACAGTCGCTACACTCTTTCAGGGTAAACCTTGCTGTTAACATTACATACATAGCACATGTGCTTTCGTTACAAGGTCGCATTTTGCCTCCTCCCACCGCGTGACTACCCCCTCAACCTTCTCCCCTCCCTGTGGCTAACAGCAGGGAACATATCTGTTTAGCCACAGGCAAACAGCCCAGCAGGAATGGGCTCCTCTGAGTGTCCCCTGAAGAAAAGCACTCTATTTCAACCAGGTGACCATGAATTATATCTCACTCTCCTGAGGATAACACAGAGAGATAAAGAACGGATTTTGGTTGAATGCCAGCAAACATACACTGCAATGCTTTGTTCTACAGTGATTCCCGAGTACGTGTTACTGGCCTGGAGTGGTAAAGTGTCCTACCATGAAGGACGAAATAAGGCTGCCCTCCCCAGAAACCTTTTGCAAAGGCTTTAGGACTACATCTAGGAGAACCGCAAATGCCAGGGCAAAGTAATCCTTTCACATGCTTGCTTTTAAACCATGTATAGCATTTTAAAAGGTACACTCACCAGAGGTCCCTTCTCCGCCTGCTGGGTCCAGGAGGCAGCCTTGGGTGGGTTCGGGGGGTACTGGCTCCAGGTCTAGGGTGAGAAACAGTTCCTGGCTGTCGGGAAAACCGGTTTCTCCACTTGCTTGCTGTGAGCTATCTACAACCTCCTCATCATCATCATCTTCTTCGTCCCCAAAACCTACTTCCGTATTGCCTCCATCTCCATTGAAGGAGTCAAACAACACGGCTGGGGTAGTGGTGGCTGAACCCCCTAAAATGGCATGCAGCTCATCATAGAAGCGGCATGTTTGGGGCTCTGACCCAGAGCGGCTGTTCGCCTCTCTGGTTTTCTGGTAGGCTTGCCTCAGCTCCTTCAGTTTCACGCGGCACTGCTTTGGATCCCTGTTATGGCCTCTGTCCTTCATGCCCTGGGAGATTTTCAGAAAGGTTTTGGCATTTCGAAAACTGGAACGGAGTTCTGATAGCACGGATTCCTCTCCCCAAACAGCGATCAGATCCCGTACCTCCCGTTCGGTCCATGCTGGAGCTCTTTTGCGATTCTGGGACTCCATCATGGTCACCTGTGCTGATGAGCTCTGCATGGTCACCTGCAGCTTGCCACGCTGGCCAAACAGGAAATGAGATTCAAAAGTTCGCGGTTCTTTTCCTGTCTACCTGGCCAGTGCATCTGAGTTGAGAGCGCTGTCCAGAGCGGTCAGAATGGAGCACTCTGGGATAGCTCCCGGAGGCCAATACCATCGAATTGTGTCCACAGTACCCCAAATTCGAGCCGGCAACGTCGATTTAAGCGCTAATCCACTTGTCAGGGGTGGAGTAAGGAAATCGATTTTAAGAGCCCTTTAAGTCGAAATAAAGGGCTTCATTGTGTGGACGGGTGCAGGTTTAAATCGATTTAACGCTGCTAAATTCGACCTAAAGTCCTAGTGTAGACCAGGGCTTAGATTGCTGTCATAACAACTGACCTTTCCATGTAATTGAACACAGTTGCTTCTGCAATCCACTAAGGTTTCTTTTCAACTGGCCAAGTTGGGTGGGGCCCAGCCAGTACCTAGGAGACCAAGATGGTTCCAGAAGTTGAGTGTTCTGACTTCACAGCAGCCTGTCATGGTAAGGGTAATCCAACCATTTTCGGCAGCTGTCTTTAATACGTAAGCGGGCTTGACTACCACTTCTGTTGAACCTAAAAGACTGTTTGGCACATCCATTGGTTTTAATGATGTCTGTGATTGTCTTTGGATCTAAGGTTCACCTGCTGGCAGCTATTAGCATCTGTCACCATAACGATATCCGGATTTGCATACAAGGAATTGTGAATTCATACTCACTGTCATTACACAAAAAGAGAGACTCTATTTCATGGTCACTGATAGTCTCATACTCTACTTTGAATATATTCAATTTTTCAAAATGGCTATCCTGTATCACTTTTCGCTCTTTTATCATGTCTCCAGAATGCTACTTATTTTTTGTATTGCAGTAGCACCTAGAGGCCCCAATTAAGTGTAAATGACATTGTCCCTGCTTGAAGAGTTTACAATCTAAATAGACAAGACCAGCAAAGGGTGGAAGAAAGGAACAATTGTCTCCATTTTGCAGATGGGAACTGATTGATTTTGCCATAGGTCTCAGAGGGAGTCAGAGACCAAAGCAGGAATTGAATACTGATCTCCTGAGCCTCACTCCACTGCCTTAAATGCACACCAGTCTTCCTCAATATTTTCACTTATGTAGTTTCTTGGCAACTCATAATTCCTAGCTCTGTTTGGGACTTTGGCCCCCAAGCTCATTTTCTGTCTTGTATACAAGAGTGCATTTGTTTTCTTGATGTGGTATCATATGATTTTCTTTTGAACAGAGCTTACCGCACAATCTTATGTCAGAGTTCTCATTTGTTATTGTGCAGTACCCATAGTGTCTCTTGCCCTGCATGCATCTGTGCACTCTCGTAGATTAAAGTTGCTCTTGTCCATGTTATCACTGCCTTGCCTCATCACTTTTCAACCCATCTTTAATGCTATTACAAATTATTTCTCTATAAAATGTCCCCACATAGGTATGAAGGCCATTTGAAAGTCTGTGACAAAAGGATCAGATGTCTCATGTGCTCTTTGTTTGCAAGTATTGAACACATGGTTTTGAAATGGGTATTTATCTTAAGGGTGCAACAATTTTCTAATATTTTGATTAGCACATTCACCGTGTTCACTCCCCCAACTTCAAAAGTGAATAAATTATGTTAATCCTGTTCTTCTGCACAGCGTGTGTGTGGCTTTGCAGCTTTTCTCGGCTGGAGTCTTTTTTTCTGCTGTGCTGATATATATTGAAATATTTTATCCGGCTTCTGCTGCATTTTCATACCTTCAAATCTTAACTGCTTGGGCGGATGAATTTCATCATCCACTAATATCCTTAGTCGACTATCTCATATCTGCTGTACTCCTTCACCTTTCCTAATTGTCACTTTCTCTTTTGAAGTCAATGTGAGACGATAATGTGTGCTGTCAGTGTACTCCTGGGGGCCAATTTTGGAGGGCCACATTGAATTGTAGCCACTACAGTGGCCATAGACTGTGCCAGAGTTTTCACTGGCCCCCTCAGAACCTGAATAGAGAAAGCACATGCTACACCTCCTCTGTCCCCATGAAGGTGCCTGCACCAGTGCAGGGATGATTCTACTCCTATATGCCTGCAGCTGTATCACCCAGTACAGCAATCTCCTCCAATCTCTCCAGCTAAACAGGGAGCTCAAGCCCCTTCCTCCAATCTGGAGAGACAGGATCTCAAGATCTTCAGTGGAAGACTTGACTAGAAGAACCCCAAAGGCTGGGTCTAGCTCCATTACTCTAGCCTGAATTATTGGGGGAGGGGCGGGGAAGGGGAGAACAATACTCAGGGATTCCAAAGGAAAAGAACTGGAGTACTTGTGGCACCTTAGAGACTAACAAATTTATTAGAGCATAAGCTTTCGTGGGCTACAGCCCACTTCATCAGATGCATAGAATGGAACATACAGTAAGCAGAAATATATACACATACAGAGAAGGTGGAAGTTGCCGTACAAGCTGTGACAGGCTAATTAGTTAAGATGAGCTATTATCAGCAGGAGAAAAAAACTTTTGTCGTGATGATCAAGATGGCCCATTTAGACAACTGACAAGAAGGTGTGAGGATACTTAACTTTAGGGAAATAGATTCAATCTGTGTATGACCCAGCCACTCCCAGTCTCTATTCAAACCCAAGTTAATGGTATCTAGTTTGCATATTAATTCAAGCTCAGCAGTTTCTCGTTGGAGTCTGCATAATCCAAAAGGCTGACAAAGGAGGTGCTGTCGTCATCATGAATAAGCTGGAATATGAACAAGAGGCTGCTCGGCAGCTCTCTAACTCCACATTCTACAGGCCATTATCCTCTGATCCCACTGAAGATTACCAAAAGAAACTGAACCATCTGCTCAAGAAACTCCCTGAAAAAGCACAGGAACAGATCTGTGCAGACACATGCTTAGAACCCCGACCTGGGGTATTCTATCTGCTTCCCAAGATCCATAAACCTGGGAATTCTGGACACCCCATCATCTCAAGCATTGGCACCCTGACAGCAGGATTGTCTGGCTATGTGGACTCTCTCCTCAGGCCCTACACTACCAGCACTCCCAGCTACCTTCGAGACACCACTGACTTCCTGAGGAAACTACAATCCATCGGTGATCTTCCAGAAAACACCATCCTGGCCACTATGGATGTAAAAGCCCTCGACACCAACATTCCACACAAAGATGGACTACAAGCCATCAGGAACAGTATCCCCGATAATGTCACGGCAAACCTGGTGGCTGACCTTTGTGACTTTGTCCTCACCCACAACTATTTCACATTTGGGGACAATATATACCTTCAAGTCAGCGGCACTGCTATCGGAACCCGCATGGCCCCACAGTATGCCAACATTTTTATGGCTGACTTAGAACAACGCTTCCTAAGCTTTCGTCTCCTAACACCCCTACTCTACTTGTGCTACATTGATGACATCTTCATCATCTGGACCCATGGAAAAGAAGTCCTTGAGGAATTCCACCATGATTTCAACCATTTGATGATGGCCTAAATGTGTGGACAATCAGTACTGAACCGATTAACACTGCTAGTAGCCTAATATTACTAACCTGGTATTAAGGCTGCTGGATATAAAGCTAAGGCCCTGATCATTTTTTGTAATTAAAGATCCCAAGGCACTTCTCTCAAGAGATAATCTCTGTATCCTGGTGGCATTCCAGCTTGAGTCAGATCCTCTCTCCTTAAAGTTTCCCCCGTGGTTTTAATTAGAGAAGTTACTCTTTCATACTTTCCTCCCTAAAATCTGATGTGCAGTGTTGCTGGTGCAGAATATCGGCTATGGTCCAGTTCCAGAGGTGGCTACATTTCAGTGTCATCTGAGCTTCTGTGTATACTGCCTGTGAGAACTATGGGATTAGTTTTGGGAAAATGTCAGTAGTGCTATGTTTTTCTTTAGATAAAGCCCCAGAAATTCTGATTTTTAACAAAACTATCTCAACCCCTGGAGGCTGGGGAAAAAACAAAACTGGAAACTTGGCCAGAACAGTCTCTCATGAAATTGCTGGTTTCCTTGCTTCTGGATTATCCATAAACAAATACAATTTACACTTTTTTTTTTTGTATTTCCAATGCTGGAAGCACAACATATGTAATGCAGGTTCAAACATCTGTGCCCACACTTTAGTGTAAGAGTTTAAAATGGGTCCCTGCAGAAATGGTTAATCACAAAGGGGGTTTGCGGGTGAATTCTAATACACACTACTGCCTCCCCCATGGAAGTCTTGTGGGAGTAGCTCTCTCATATTTCTAGCCTGTTTGAGCTAACTGCTGTGTGGGTGGGAATGATTTCAGAAAAGAAGGCCAGAAACAGAAGAAGAAGGCAGCAGAAATCTTTGGATATGAATGGAGAAAATTGCACAAACTGCATATATGGAGAGAGAGAGGCAAGAAGAAGAAACTCCTTTATTAGAGGTAGGAAACACTCTGCAAGGAGGTGAGAGAGGGCAGATGCCTTTACTCAAAACAAAACACAACCAGTTATTCCAGGCAGAAGTCATTTGCTGTGGCACCTGTTCTTCTATTGGGCCACTCTCTGAACTGCTGTGCTGTGGTACATGCAGCTGCTGCTGCCAAGTCCCTAATTTAGGGAACCCACTGTGCATCTGAGCCTGAAATGCTTGGGGGAAAGGACAATTCAGCTTCATTTTGTAGGAGACAGCACTCTAGCTGTACCACCTGCTGCACATTTCCGGACAGTCCTTCCTAAGAGACATCTAAAGAAATGAAGCAGTCATGGGTTGAGTGAAATGGTTGTGTCATATATTAGATGCTCGCTAAGAGGTTGAAATCAAATGGTGGCAATACATGGTCACTGTTTAGCATGGAAATAGGTTGAATAGCTGGTTCCCTAGAATCCATGGATTGGCATTTTCCTTATATTTAAAGATTTGGAAGAGGAGGCGAGGAGTAAGATGGCAAAGTGTGTGGATGATACAGAATTGCTTAGTTTAGACAAGGTAGTCAGTAAGAAACCCAGTCAGGGACAAATCATAACCTGAGGCATGTGCTCCCCAGCATGGGCTACTTGCAATGTGGGTCATAGCAAAAGCATGGAGTTCAGCATCGGTGGGGTTGCTGGTTCCTCTCCCAGGTGTGTAGACGGGAGAGTGGGCAGGCAGAGTTGTAGATCCTTGACTCCACGCTCCAACTGGAGCTGGTGAGGAATTTTTCAACTAAAATTTTTCTTGTAGGAAATGCCGATTTGTTGAAACCAAAACTCTGTGTGGAAACACATCAGGTTAACGGAAACTTTAATCAG